AGAAGGAAAGGCTTCCGTATAACTCACTCTATTCTGAAACAAAACTGTAATTCCAAAAGAAATCTGTTGATGGCTGTTTGAACGTATACTTTTCAAAAATATGGCCTACGATTTTTAAACTAAGATAACCTTTTTTCGTAACAAAGAAGTTCTTTATCATCAATTTTCGTAGTCGCCAAGCACTTAAAGTAGTTTTACGATTTTTTTAATAAAAATTCCCCTTTTTACCTTGGTGCGTAAATCTTTTGTCCTGAGATTATACACATAGCACAGCAAAGTGTGCAGACTTCTGAGTTTACCGCTAAAGTTACGAACATACCGATCGTGTACATCCCTAAAACGAAACATAACAACTGTCAAACTCTCTTTTGTGGCTCGTGATCTTTTCAACACAAAGTGAGCTGATACTGTGAAGCTATTTTTGGGCATCAAACGGCTTACAATATTAATACAAGGCGTGATTTTCTTATTGGTCGATTTCGTCATTTGAGTTGATGAGATTGACTGGTATCTAAAGTCCAGGAGTTTCTCTGTCAGGGGATGGTTGCCATCAAACTAGGAGAATAGAAAACTTACCAGTGCTGAGGAGCGAGGACTGGTACTCCGGCTCCTAAATTGGTTGCTAAACCTTTGAGCTGCAATAGTGCTGATGTCACAATATGTAGGACGTTTATTCCATATCATTCTACTTGCTTTTTGTGGTATGGTATCTCAAAGACTTCTTTGTAGGTCAATTAATTGAGTATCCGAACGCAGAATTGAAATTAGGTCGAAAACAAATCCACGCGGGTAAGTCAGATTAATGCAAGTCCTTACAGCAGGGACCAGTCATTGCTTAATAACTTACCTCTGATCAATAACCTCTTCCTCGTGTTCTGATTTTATCTCACTGGGGAAGGCGGCAATCAACTCTTCCCCAACCCCTGATGTGTCAGTTCCGTCAGATGACCTGAGCTTGTTCATCATTTTCTTGGTTTTATTCGGAGACACACTTGATGGCTCCGTCATCAGCAACTGACCTTGAGGGCCCTTCATGACATCCACCACCTACATAGAGATATGATATATTCTTTTAAATGCGCATGTGTGTTACGAGGTAAAAGTTGAAGTGACCCAGAAAAAATAGTAAACACAGCAAGAATTGTTCGCCAGTGGCCAGTTAGATTTGAGATTGTCAATTCCCTCGTCACGTAATGAGAGACAAGGAAAACTTTTACTCTAAATGGCTGTTTTGATTACTGTACGGTAAAGGTTAAGTCAGTTCCCGAGCCAAGAGGCTCACCCAGCCGGAGCTTATCCCAGTTTCTTTTACGTAAAAGCGACCGAGAGTATCACTACCCTTCCCCCCTCCTCTTGGATGGGTGCCAGTCTATCGCAAGGATACCCCCCAGCATTTCATCAGGCTTCCCTGAAAATTTGCCAGTACCCATTTATTTTCCTGAATGGTGAGAGGCACTGTGAGAGTTACTTGTTTTGCCCAAGAACACAACACATTGACCGAGCCATAGGTCCCGTGCCCGGACCTCTCGACCCAGTCCACCGCATCAACCATAAGGCTACCACGTGTCCCGCTTTGAACATTATGACAGACACTCAAAAAGAGTCTTCGCATGTTAAGACAGATAACTAACCGTAGACATGATATTCTTTTTGTTCAGACATTCTTTAAATGACTGCCCGGCTCGCACGGCTGCAAGTCTGTCTCGACTCTGGCACAACTTTTCCTTTATTTCACACAATCCCGCTTGATCTTGCAACGAGAGTGATTTTCGCTTCTTGCTTACATCAGATTTCTATTTTATTCGAAATAAATCAAAGGATAAATGAAAGCATACCAATGTGACCTCTACAAGCTACACTTACACAAGTCATTATCAATCCGGGGAAAGGGTGGGATGTGGAAGATTTTGGGGGAATTACATAATCCTTGCGCGTTTCGGAGGCGGATCAGTCGTCGTCAACGGAGTATAAACGGACGACTGTAGAAATTTGACTGCCAATCTACTGACAATGGGGGGGGGGGGGGGTTATAAAAAGATTACAGAACCATATGGGAGGATCAGGTAAAATTTATGGTGACAAAATAAACATCAATATTTGAATCAAATATGAGCAAAGATTCTGAGGGAAAAAATTTCGCATTTTAACTGTATAAATTTTTTACCCACACCCTTCCCAACTTTCTAATACATATGTCCCTTCTCTAAACGATTTCTCATCTGGAAGAACTAAAAATTAATTACACCCCTAAGGGCCTCTAAGAGCATCCGCGAGATGTAATTCTGTTGACGCGCAAATCAATTAGTAGGCAAATTCATTGAACATGCCTTTTGAGCAGTACTCTCTGTGTCTGTTTCTTCCTTTTTTTCCTTTTCGTTCGAGTCGACCACAACACTGACATTACACTAGAGGTGAAAACAAGGTAAGTTAGTAAGTTGGTTCGTTTCGCCAAACATGTAAGCGATGCCAAACTTGAGGTCAGACCTGCCATGCGGTACTTTATTTTATCAATAATATCTTTAATTCACATATAACAACACCATAAAGAATCATTTTCTTGGGTAAAAATAATCTGAACGATAAGGAAGGTTCCCATAAAAAAGAAAGAAGATGGTACAGGATGCGAAATATTGAACAACAATTTTAATTATAGACTCGAAAAATGAAGGCTGAAGATATTAAAGTGGACGAGGTATGACGCTGAACTCCATATTTCGAGAGCGTTTTGTGATTGGGGTAGAAACTCGCGCCAGTGAGCCACTCAACCAATTAGAAGCTGATACCAATTGTGAATCACCCTTGGTACAATCTATGGTGTTCTTTCACTCTGAGGTTTTTTTGTCGTTGTTGTGGTGTTTGCATATGTTCCGATGGCTGTGTAACACCGCAAAATAATTCCTAGATACGTTACACTCTGATTCTCAAAGTTTATTGCTATGTAAAACTTTTTAAGATCACTTGAAGTTTTTTCTTTCAAAATCCAACCTTACGTGAGCTTTTAACGAATCTGCGCGCGCAATTTCTCGCCGACATTTCAAATTTTAGGTTGGACAGAAACGTATATGAAAAGTTTTCCTGCCCTTTTTTCCTGTTTTTTCCTCCAAAAAACAGGTGTAATAGAATCTGTGGTATCAGCTAATTGTAGTTTCAGAAACAAATAAAGGAGGAACAAAAAGAAGAAGTGTCAAAATAGTACTTGGGCAAATAAGGTGAATGGAGAGATTTAACGGCAAGTAAAACCTTTGTGACGATGTTTTAGATTCTAAACTACGTGCATAAAATAGGGAAAATTGACTCTGAGTCTGGAAAAGATATTTCAATCTCTTGGTTTGGATCAAATTTTAATTCTTTTTCTGAACACAAAGCTATCTTAAACTTTCTGCGCAGTTAGAAGAAGCAACAGCTATGTAACTTAAAATAAATGCGCACACACGAGGATCCACCTGATTAAGACGAAAAAAGTATAATAACTAACAGTAGTGAAACAGGCCGAACACTTGCACAGCAGGCTTTATAAAAACGAGAGAAACACTCGGCAACTGAGCGTTATCAATATGGATAATATTTGTTGTCTGCTTACTTTCTCTGAGCTTTGATCAATTCCAACAGTGTCGAGGACTAGATCGCGCATATCCAGACAAACGTCACCAAATGAAGCATATGGTAGATGAGCCGGTGTGTAGAATCCACAGAGTCGCTGTTTAACATGCCGGTTGTATTTATCTTTCCAGTGATCTTCGGTTAGTTCGGACTTGTAGTAACGATTTGTGCGAATTCGCACTTTTCTGTCGCTTTGAGTCAGCGACATTTGAGGCTCGGAACGAAAATTTTGCTTCAAGCTGCGAACAATGTCTGCGTAAATCTGATTCTCAGTTTTCTGCAATCCAACCATCGTGATCTTTTCAAGGAAATAGTAATATCGTAATTTCTGATACTGTTTTCAATAACCGACAAATTCACCGAATCAAACAGCCAAAATAAACATACTTCCAGTCACCATAGGGACGTTTAATGACGAATAACGTGACGATAGTCGTGACGATTTAGTAATCTGCGCCCGCAGTTCATCAGACTCGTTTGCTGGGATGAACAACAAGTCTTCTTTCCGCCTCACAAGTATGGATAGATATTAACTGCTTAGCGTGTTTCTAGTTTTAAACCGCGAAGTTTTCTCATCAAAAATTTTCTTCAAACGAGCTAAACAACAACAAGAACAACAAATCAGAAATCAAGCCACGTGCTTTAAAAATCACAACGCGTCAGTTGCAACAGCTGCCACACTGCTTATCCCTAAACAACATGAAAGAACAAATCATTTTAGCTATTATACTTCCTTTGTGTAGGTTCCAATCGTTAGAACAGATCACCAAGAGATACAAAAAAAACAAGGGATGAGGCCTTGTACGTCACAGGTGAGAGGCCAGATTGCATGATGGTCAGCATTAATTATGGTCACGGCTGTGGTAGAAATTTAAGAAAATTTAAATTCTTAAAAGCGGTCAGCGTCAGAACTTTAAAACGAAACAATTAAATTTTAAATTTACATCAATTCCTCTGCTATCATCTTTGAAGTAATGAGAATGTGCTGAATCTTTATTCTTAGCCAGGAAGAGCAATGTGGTACTGACAAAATGTTTTGAACCTCACACAATGCTGGCACATCAGCCACCAAATTTTAATCATCCAAAAATTCTTTATTTTTAAACCCAAAAATTTCACCACCTTTATTGTGGAATTTTAGAGAATATGAGAGGAAAATAAAAATCTTATGCATGAGATATTTCATACACCTGTCAATAAATATACACAATAATATGACATTCATAACCATAGCATTAATAAGGCAACAAAATGTAATTTGTCCATAATGTTTGCTTTGTAAAATGTATTCTATATACAAGGCTAAAAGGTTAAAAAAATAAAGAAAATGTTTAAACCAAACATTTTCGGCTGTTTGCCATCATCAGGTTAAAAAAAACTTTTTTTTTTTTTTTAACCTTTTAGCCTTGTATATAGAATACAAAATGTAATTTGATATTCAAAAAATTTTAATTTCACACCTCTATTTTATCAATAATGTCTACATAAATATTCAATACTTCCACTCTTAAAGGAAAAGAATGCCTCCCAGTCACATAATTTTCATGTACAGAACTTAATTATGCCAATTACATCTAATTATGTAAAACTTGGTAACCTAACTACACACAAAACCACAAAGTGGGGTATCACAAAAAGCAGCTATTCTGATCATCACAAAAATTTATAATTTCCTGTAGCTCCAACTTATATAAAAAAATTTCCAGATGGAAAAAAAAAGAAGAGGAAAGAGACTTCTTCACTTCACAGGAAAGCAGCCAGGTTACTGAGCAAGCAGCCAAAAGTTCAACACATTTGAATAGTTTGGATGCTCAATGGAGTCTCACATGATGAGCGAGATCCCTGATCATCAGTGATCATGAGCAGCTTAGTTTATAATTCACAGTATACCTCTTTATGCTAAAGAAAAAATTAATAGCTTCTGGCACAATTACTTGCCCTTTAAAACTTTACACCCTAACATCAAAACACAGACTCTCCCCACCATTCCCTGTACATTTTTTAAGTGCTGACATGAAGGATTTGTTTAAACAATCTAGAGCTTCATTAGTTGATGATCATTTTCCTTCATTCTTTGACCTTAATGTTTGATTCAGGAATTATATTAACAGGAAAAATGAAATGTTGGTCACTCTTAAGGGGCAAAGGGTTGACCATTTAACTTCCCAAGATTAACAAAATTTTCCCCCACAATGTCAATACTGACAATAAAATATCAAGCAGAAAGTGATGAGAATAGAGAAAACTATCAATAAGGGGATTATTAGTTGATCAAATACCAAATTCTCCAAATTAATATCCTTAAGTTAAGGAGAATAACAATAGGATCCAGGAGGTAAGAGGGTTAAGAATCCCTGCCCTCCCCGGTCAAATACAGTTAAAAGTTTCAGAATACAAATCTGTGTTCACTTCCTTTACATTTGTTTAAAAGTATTGCTACTTCACAACTGAGCCTTAGAAGGCAAATAAGTTTCCTTTCCTTGGTCTGTTTCTACAGCTACAAGCTTGTGACTGCTATGATAACCACATTTCATAGCTGACAAATGTTACTCATTATTAAACTGTTATTGTTGACATCTTTTTTTTGGCGTCTTTGACCACCAAAATCTGACAGTTTACATGAATTATATGCAATTAAGCTTATTAATTGTCAAGGTCTAAAATCCTTAAGGCCCCTTCCCCCTACTCACCCACTCCTTCACCTTCTTACACAAACACACAAATAAACCAACTGCACACAAATGAACCAATTGCAAAGTTCATGAGTGATTTGAATACTAAGGAAATGTGATTGAAAACAACACTATTTTCTTTCAAATACCTTAGTTTACTTTTCATGCATATTTCAGCATCTGCTCTCCTGGCAGGTTTCTTTTTGAAAATAATTTAGTCAGCAGACAGCAAATCTAGTTCACGCTATCTAGGGTGGCCTTTTGAAGTGGCTTGTTGGTCATCCAAGACATGTAGGCATTCCAAAATATTGCCACTATCTGAACAAACCCCACCTGATGCTGAATTGGAACAAACGTGAAGTTAATCGTCTGCGCCAGAGGCCATATTTTGTAATTGGTAACCATTGTCTCCAAATAGCGCTCCTGAAGCATTTCTTTTATTTCAGAGGGTTTTTTCCCAGCTAAAGTCTCTGTAACACCAAAGAAAAAGCAAATCATACATGGAGCAAAGAGAGCCTGATCAAGGAGCATCTTTTTGAAGCCGGCAGTCTTTGCTGCTCCAGGAACAAGTCTGTCCAATGTCAGGTACCATGTTCTAAACACAGGGCCGATAATTAAACCAACAACACCCATACGAGCTGTCCTGGTGAAATTGTGAGTGATCCCTTTCTGCTCAACACACTGCTGTGTAACAACATCACCAATGGCAACAAGAACACCTAAAAAACAAACAAACAAACAAAAAAAAACAAAAAACACAAATTTAATGGTAAGATTCTTTACGAAGCATAGTTTACAAGTGTCCAGTAAGGTTGACTAATTTCTTTAACCCTTTAACTCCCATGAGTGATCAAAATGTAACTTCTCCCTAACCCTTAGCAGCATCCCTTCATTATCCAGCAAACAGGCAATGAGAGTACAGGTAGAACTTGTTATGTTGATCTGACACCAAATTCTCATAACTAATTTACAAAGAAATGTCAAGCAGCTGGAGGGAAGCATTGAAAATCAAACCTTGGGAGTTACACTAGTTAATAATTTTATGGTTAGCATTCTTTAATTGTTGCTGACAATAATACAGGCCACCTGCATCAGCCCTTCAAAAGGGACAAAACGCTTCCTACATCAATAGCAATTGATTTTATGCTAAATAATGTCTCCAAATTAAATTGGCACAAAAGTCTGGTTGTGCTGCACAGTGTACATGTGTCAGTAGCCTGCATCTTTAGAGTATTTCATGACTTATTTTGAATTACATTTTTCTTCAGTTGCAACTGCATGAGCCTGTCTTTTCCTCAGTTGCCACATTCAGGTGCAAACCAAGGTGTCAAATAATTGAATAAGTTATAATATAGAGAGCAAAATCACTAAATGCTAATAGCTGAGACAGAGGGCATTTTTATCAGTTTTGGATGTTGCTCTGGGCAATTAACAAAATTTAGAAAAGGCTTAACTTTGTCACAATTTTTTAAAATAATTTTTAAATTCAGCTGATTCGTACGTTTTACAGATCATTGACGCTAACTAAACACTGAAATGGCTTCCTACGAATGTGCGTAACAGCGTGCGTTTTTGATCTTATTAAAAGGAAACTTTGACTTTTATATGATAAACAAGTAATTGTAATATTAAGGATTGATATCACCTGTGTTTTCAGAAGTTGCAGAAATCACTCTCGTCGCTGTGCAACTCGGAAAAATATTCATTTTCCTTAATTTTAAGTTTACTAAAATTTAATTTTATGTAATTATAATTTTATTCGACCCCATGCGATTACCAAACAAAATCGTTCTAACCATTCGCAGCGCGCCAAGCCCGCTTTAATAACAGAGAAAATTATCCGTGAAAATTGCACCATTATTTCTCACCTGTGCCAATAGTTTGAGTTCTCCACGGGTGAGTTATGAGTAACTGTTGATATCTGGCCCAAGCTCTCACGAGAATTCTCATGGCAAATCCTCTTTCAGATTGTACGAAAGATACGAAATGTTATGCTGTTGCCGTCATATTGGAAATCGAGAGGCCCTGGGTCAAGAACGGCAGTTTCAGAGCCTTCGCTCCTAACTCAAAGTAGCCAGCGTCAATCACTTAGGGACATACTTTGGCATAAATTGATGGAGTCAATTTTAGCCGCCAGCGCGCCGATTTCCTGCGCAAAATTTACAGGGAAAACATAACAAGCAACCGCTGTCGCGCAAAGTAAGTGAACGAAAATTGAAACGTTCACTACGAATACATGTGATTAATTAAGAAATTTACGAGACCGTTTGCTGCGGAGCAATCCATTTCGAATGTCTTCAAGAGCCCTTAAAGCCATGACAGGAAGAGAAGAGTAGTTTCATGATAACTACTGCGTTCAAACTGATCACAAATTCTCCATTTTCAGAGGGATTTCGCGGACATGAAATGCCGCACCAAAGAACATAACACAATATTTGTGATAAGGCTTTATTTCACGGTAAAAAAGGTACTTTTTTTTTTTTGCAAGCCATACCTCTGTTTCTAGGAACAAGCGTGTTGACAAACTGAATAGCATTCGTTAAACGATGAATTCAGTTCAAACTTGATAATTATTGCGATAATTAACTGATAATAATATGAAACTTACCCTGACTACTAATGATGATGACAATTGTGACGATGATAACAATTCATATGTACTAGCAAACCATGTAGCACGTCTAATAATAGGTATTTTTGCCAAGGCGAACTTGATCACGTGCATAAGTTGTCACATTGTAGTGTACAAATGTTCAATGTGCGTTCATCTGGGAAAAAAACTCTCAATAATAATTCAAGTACATATATATCAAGAGGCGCTGTATTTTACAATTTATCTCGAAAATCCCTAAATAAGAGTATATGAGTATTAGCTCTTTAAGGTTTTTTTGGCCGTCATGATAACGCACGTAAGTTTTGTTCTAAGAAACTCAATCAAAAAGCGCTCTATAAGCATCTGTTAGATAAAGTATCAGAGCTTTTCTCTTGATTTCCTAACAGAATATGTTTCTAAGTTGGTAAAACTGAAATTTTGAGTGAGAACTAGTTTCCCTATCGGTGCAAACATTTTACTTCGGTCCAACAGGCGTGGATTGTTTCCTTGCTTCCTTCGGCCCCATTGTCACCAAGTTCAGACTTCTTGCGACCAAAAAACAAAGTATTAGATATCCAGGATAGATAAACGATTATGGATTATCACAAGTTGGTCAAACTTCGAGCGTGCCTAAGAGGATCATTCTGGCCAGCCAATTTGCCGCCCAAAAATAAGAAACAACTGCAAATTAACATAAAACGTATTCAAATACGGGTATCCTGTAGATTTGTTGTTCCTTTTTTTGGCGTTACCAAAAAAGTTATACGCTTTTAAAACACCCTGGTTTGTGTGTTTTCTTTTAAATTGTGTGATGCAACTTGGTTCCGACAGCCTGAAAGCAGACTACGTAGTCGTGAGACAACGGCAAAATGAGAGCGCGTGCGCGGATTTAAGGCGTTCAAAAAGCGTTTCGTGATTCACTCCCTAACTTCACACCTTTTACCTCATTTTTTTTTTTTTTTTTTTTTTTTTTTTGAGTAAGTTATGTGATGGAGGAGACTCGATATAAATTTCCTGGAAACGTCAATCTCATCTGTTTTGGTTTACGCTTATTTATGCAAAGTGAAAACAAACAATGGCAATTCCAAAAATGTCTTCAGTTTGCTGATAGTGTTACTGAAGAAATTTGGTCGTTCGCACTCCTTTGCGCGCGTAAAATTCCTCGCGCGTTACAACAATGCGCAATCATTTTGTCGCTGTGTCCCTAGTCATAGCGTTCGCACATGCGAAGAAGTTTAACTGCTGTATTCACATTGTGGAACTTACTTCTCAACTTTTTGTTATTACATACTTAGGCGAGCTTGGTTTAATTTCCCGTCATTTCATAAATTGTACAGTGTATCATCATGCACAAAGTAAGCAATTCAGCCCGTATGCAATGCTTCAAAACTTATTTTGAAAGACGTTTTTGGGAGATGAAAAAGGAAGAATTATTAATCTAATGAACCAGTTTTTTCATTTTTATGATAATTTTTGAAATACTCAGTCCAACTGTCATCGCTCTTTAGAAAATGAATGGTCTAGAGTTGATCAAATGATATTCCAAGTGATACAGCATTGGAAAAATACAGAAGTATTTTGAACAAGAAATACTTTGAGGCATAGAACGGCGGTCTTTCTTTGAAGATAAGGGTATATGCACGTCACTGGTATTGTTATGAAACGCTTCGGAAGACATCTTGAACGGATCAGTATTAGCAAGAAAAAAATGCACTTAACATTTGACTGCTGACTGCTCAACTTACGCAAACTGGAACATACTTATATCTGGTTTTTGTATGTTTTTATTCGTGGTTTTGTTTTTTTAAGTAAATGTAATATACTGAGTTAATTGTCCTTAGTATTAAAAAGAGAATATAAGCAGTTTATAATCTCTTAGTATTAAAGACTCGTGGCAACAAACATCATGGCAATTGTCAACAAAATTTTATTTCGCTGAGTACTCTGGGTACTTGTAAAATTTACGAGGCATTATGGGAACTCATTCAAAACATTACAATGATTAATTATTATGGTATATGTTAGCTGAATATTTGTCAGAAGCAAATCGTTAAGAGTTAGCTCTCTGAAATTCTGTGAGGGTTAGCGTTCTTTGAGAAAAACATCTCTTAAAGATTGATATTACACCAGGAAAAAAGCACGTACCGTTCCACTGATATTTGCACTCATTCTTGAGAATACTTAAATTTTTTTTTTTGGACTTTTCAGCAATATCCGTCTGGGTAATTATTTGTTAACTGAATGCATATTAACAAGTACACGTTTTTGCTCGTTATCCGGCTTTAATCGTTAAGATTTTTCTTTCAGGTAATTCGAAGCAGTGATAATTTGTAGAGAAGTATATATTTGCCTTTCAGACCTCAGAAACTCATGTTGACAACTATTTCGTGCTCTTTGCAATCGTATACGCGCTAATTATACAGGAAATTGATTCTTGAGATTTATTCAAGCAAATAAACTGACCCAGTATTAAAATGTTCTAATTTCTAAGTCTGATAACTTGTAAAGGGCCAAGGTGGGCTCTGTGTCGGGATAGACTGGGAAATGGGTTGGGTCAAAGCAGCGTCTGAATATCGAGGCGATGTGCTTCGAGATATGTTGCTAACACGCAGACGCTTATCTTGAAGTTGATTTTATTTGACAAATAAGGTCGTATATACTGGCAATTATCCTGGAAGAGGATGTAAGTAAGTGGTTTTTTCCGGTTCCTTTGCCAATGATTCAATTTGTTTTCAATGGCCTCATCAGTTATTCTTCATTGCACATCGTATATGCTGCGGAATTCGTTCTGACAATGAGCAGAAAAACTAATTTAAGAAAAACGAAATTGAGATAACTAAAACAACATGAAAGTCGAGTTTTGTAGGGGATGAAAGAAAATAGGGCTAAAAATTCAGTTGAAATATCATCAGGCTTCGATCAACAACGTTTCTGTATCGGACCCCAAAACCAATGATATTATTACTTTCATGGTTTGTCTGGGACATGACAGCTACAAGTCACGTAGCATGAGAAGCCCTCTCAATTACGAATGTGGTCCAATACTCAAAAACAATTAACAAATACCACTTGAATAAATTCACAGTAGTATAAAAATTGTATTATTCGCAGCGCTGTAGTCATCCGAGAGAAGCTACTTGCTGAGAAGCAATACTTTGTTAGAGTTTTGTAAAATCCTTTGCAAACAAACAGACAATAACGCCATGAAGACTTGCAGTTTTTTTGTTAGTTTTACCCTCGCTATTGCCATGGTGAATGGATTCAGCACCGAGGAACATGTAAAACGTTTCTTTCGCCCAGAGCATAGAGCACTTCTGCCGGATTTAACCAGCTTTCAGATCGAAGACGAGAATAGCGTGGCACGTGTTCCACAAAACGATGATTCCACTCAGTGTCTTGCCCACTGTGAGCCAGAATGCCAAAAGTTAGACGTGCCAGATTTTTTAACGGTAAGAAAATTTTGCTTTCTTAAGTTGTATTTATTGGTTCTCACGAGTATTCAAGTCTAATAGGCGTAAACTGCATGAGATTTCCAGTCTCGTGCACCGTGCATGATACAGGTTCCACGGCTTTCTAGAGCAACCGAAGCACCCCATAAAGAACGCGTCATTTGAAAAGGACACAAACTGATGTACTTTTAAGTTCCCATATACAATTAATAATCTTTATCGGTTACATTCTTGGTTTTCTAAAACTTTCCTCTTGTTTTTAATGAACAGAAAAACACCAGCTTCCATAAATTTCAAGAGATGCCTATCAACTGTGTCCTGGCTTCTACTATCGTTTTCAACAGAGATCCATTGTACCAATGTCAGTTTATGTTGCTGTACTTGTTCGATTGCTGCCGATATTGTAACGCAGTCCACAAGAAATGTTTTGATCAAAATGGCGCTTTAAACGGCGGTCCAGAGTACTGCTATCGTCAGTCCTTCAATTGTATGCCCAAATGCATAGAAAAGAACTCACCACCAGAAATCGCCCCATTCGCTTCACCTTAAATTCCTGGAGAACTCTTTCAATTTTTCCTATGCTGTGGCATTAATGTACCGAACGTTATATCTATCCTATTAAGGGAAGTTTTTTTTTCCTGATCAGTTCTTTGTTAGCATTGCTAAATAGTTTTAACCGCCAGTACTTCAAAATCAACATTAGCAAGTAATTTCCTCCATGTAACGAAGTTTTTGTAACCTATTGTCAAAATAAATGTTTGATACGAAATTTGTTGTTGTCCTTTAATATGACTGATCACATAAATAAATTACTGAAATAACTAAATATATAGAAATATAAATAGAAACCCCCTTGTTCCTTTATCCTCTTATCAAGTGCACCCCCTTGATACTTTTTGAAGAAGTTGTTCTCTATAAAGCACTATCTCTATGTTTATTTGAAAACATCAATTTCCCTTCCGACAACGATCTTGATTCTGAAACATTTGTACTAATGTGCACGAAAAAATTACATGCACGCTTCTGATCTGCTGAAAACCAGTGCATTCTCACTGATCACTGAACAAGAGTGCAAAGTTGTAACACAAGTGCAAATTAAAAATAGCGCGCGCACGCTTTCAGAATTTCGTCTGTCTCTCTCTTGACTTTCTGTGATGTTGATTCATGTACATTATTAACAAGTAATAACATGATTTCTCTAGAAATTTGGTGTAATAGGCACTTGTAACTTCTTCAAAGACTACAAATTTCACTCGCCCCTCGGGCTCGTGCAATTTTGTTGTCTTTGAAAAATTCACTCGTGCTTATTGACACCAAATGGCACTCGAAATTATGCTATTACCTATACTACCTTCTCGATAAGTCAAACTCATTAGAAAATTGCCATTTTTTCTCGTGAGGTCGCGAGTATACATGCATAAGGAATTCAGCCGGCAAACCGATAAAAACTATGAATTTACTTGCTATTCAAGAATACCTTTATTATTTTTTGTTGCCTTGGACCCGTAATAGGAAAAAAAAAGAGAGAAATGCTCAAAGATTGTAATAAACAAAGTTGACTTGCAGTTTTTTTTTCATAACAAACGCCGTGCGGATGTACTTAATCTTTTTGCAAGTGATATTATGAAGCTCTGTTGGTTGCACGTGTACAGAAAACTGTTTTTTCCTCCTACTGATTGAGAGTGATATATTGACAATGGACGCACCAGATCCACGTCTGGCGATACTTCTTGTTTTCGCGTTTCCTGTGGTGTATATGGGGTTCACCGATAAAAAATTGAGATAAAGATTAATAACATTCCTGTCCATGTAAGCTCTTAAAATTTAAATGCCACACTTTGTTTATTTCAAGAAGTTTCCGATCTTATACTGTGCATGTCGGAACAGCTTTTATGTAACGTTTTGAAGTGGATCGGCAATTTAGTGACAAATATAAGTTAGTTTTCAAGAGATAACGGGAAAAAAGCCGAGAAAAAAGTCACGTATGCTGTAAACTGGAATAATACTCACAAACAAGATATTCATTGTCATTAATCTTAGCTACAAAATCTCTTTTCAAAAATCTCTTTTTTGACAACCGGCAAATCATAAAGATTTATTCTTTTTAAGCTTGTATTTATCGTTTCGCATGTAAACGCATTGAGAAAATAGGCTTGTATATGTGCATACATGATAACATTTCATTGTACAAACAAAGTTATGCTTGACCGATCCTTTAGGAGTAGCCAATCAAAATAAAGCCACAGTTATTCAGGTCAATCTCGTATGGTTGTTGCGATATAAAAGGCTTTTTACCTCCCCAAACTCATTCAGTGTACACTTCGTTTTCTTGAACACGGATTTCCAATATAAAAACTTCTTTCTCACCTGCCAATATGAAATCGTATTTGTTTATTTACTTTTTCGCTGCTACGCTTTTGGCTACCCAAGGCCATTACGCTTCGAGGGATTTTTACAACGACGAAGTTCACGAAGCCCTCGAAAGAATACCAGATGAACCTAAACTGCCGAGTTTTGAAGAAAAGCTTATTGATGCACGAATGGTTCAAGAGGACAGTCATAATATGAGTTGTGACTGTGCTAGCGAGTGTAACAAGCTTAACGTTAGCAGGTTGCCGCACGATGTTCGGGTATGTGGTTATAATTTTGCAAGGATACGTTTGTGCATTAATAGAAAAATCTAAGTATCGCAATGTACCTAATCTTACTTATACGCGTGAGCAGCAAATACAAACCTGAAAATAAGACGATTTTGCTTTACCCTCTGTTTTGACTCTCTTACCATAATTTGTACCTAGCTATCAGTTGTTTGGGCGTAGTCGTAGTGCGTTCAGTTCACCAGGGATGGTACTTCAAGCTGTTTTATTGTTATAACAGGGTAATTTAGTAATATCAACTGAATTGATAACGTAAATTGGTGTATATCATGCATCTTAAAACCCTCCTACATGTAACTGCGTACAGTAAGAATGGTGACTCTGATTATATGTCTTTTTTAAACATGCAGGACGAGGACAAATACCTTAGCTACGAAAACTACCCAGTGTTATGCCGTGATGCTGCAGCAATTTATCTGCCGCGCCCTCCGCTCGCAAACGAACCGGCCAAGAAGTACGTCTGCAAGCAAGTGTTTGACTGCTGCCGAAGTTGTAACCATTATTTTTACACTTGTATCAATGACTCCAATAACGAATATGGTCTGTGCATGCGCGGGGCTTATAAGTGTATGTGTGACTGCATTGATAACAAATCCTTCAACGAACTCCCTCATATGCCCTGACTGAGAATCTACACTTTGTAATAGGCACTGCTATCTAAGACAGTAACGTAACTAAAGTCAGTTCGAGGTTCGAGTCGATCGATTTCTCTGTTTTGTATCGCTGTTCATTGCTCTAGAGCTTCTGATAAAAACTTTGCTGTTTTGATATATATACTGAGTGTTGTAACTTTTTTTATTGCTAACGATCAATAAAAAAATCTTATGAACAACTTATATCAGTTTAGTTATTACTTTGAGTTTTTAATTGTAATGCCGATATAATAATGTGGGTTAGGATTGCGTAAGGACAAATCCTCCTCTTGTTTTGCATTCCCCTGTTTTAGTCTTTCCCTATTTTTTAGCTCTTCAATTCTTTGCCAGAGAATAATAACGAGAATCCTTTCTGTTTTGAATGATCTCTTAATCGATCTATGTTTTTTCACTGATGATTCGATGAAATTTGAAATAGACAACACTTCCGATCAAACGCACTCGCATTTAACTATATAGAGGGTCCCCGATAGGTTTTTCGGGATCCGGGATTGAGCTTATTTAAAGGCCAGGATCCGGGAATTTAAAGTAAGAGGGGAGCGAGATGCGGGATTGCTATCATGAACGGGACTCGGGAATCGGCGATTCTGAGGAGCGGGATTCGGGAAATAATCACTTAAACGAACCGAGAACCGGGATGTACGTCGGTTGACGAAGGTTTATGAAGAAATTGATCTTCTCAGTCCACGAAAAGCACCAGGCATACAGGCTCTCTAGCATTCAGGAGGTCAGGCTGTTCAGCGACACTCTTTGAGTTATTGCGCGGCAATGAAAATTGTATCAGCAGCGAAGTTGCCAATTTCCCAAAAATCCTCAATGGCCCAAAGGGTAACAAGGCATCTAAGACTGCTTCGTCAGTTGAAATACTTAACGGCCTCGAAAACTCCCATGGTGTTAGATTATGTTAGACTTGATTTCTCTAACACTCGTTTGTGGTCTGGTTGTTCCTTCTTTATTTGCTTCTCTTCTCAAGTTGTTACAATGGGGACTAGCTTCAATATATCAGGGAAAACTAGAGTCTCCGCTTATAAAGGTGTCACTGCGGATGACATTTCTAAGCCGTCAATCTTCTTGTGTCGTCATCGTACCATCTCAACTAGCGAATCACGCTTGACTACGTATTATAGTTCTCATATACTGAGTAAGTACCTTAGGGTTGTCTACGCAGTTACAAAATCAATTTCTTCCCTAATTTTCATATCTTTACGGTTGAGATCGGCCAGAACAGAAACGAGATCGACAATATAAAAATTACAAATAACCTTGGTGTAGAGTGTTATTTATACCTAAAAGTGTATCTAAAGAGAAAATCACCTTTAAAGATTGTTACATAACAACATCTTGGTCACAAGAGTTAAAGAAGAAAGGCGCTCACAAGTACCGCCCCCAAATTGCTGCTTGTTGCGAAAACATGAGGGACATCACCTGTTTACCCTTAAATTACCTCTGGGAACACGAAGGCGTCGAACGCGACCTATTACCAGGGAGATTTACTCTTCCTGGACCAACAAATTAACTTATTTAAGAACACGGCCTATCACGAGTTCCATGTCAACTTCACGATCACCACGAACAAAACGTGATTAAACTCACTAGGTGAACGTGGCCAAACTCACAAACTCAACCTTTAAGATAAGACCACCAAGAAGGCGTACGAAGTAATCAACCTGCCCTTTTTATAATTTACATTAAATGACTTAGAATAATGTAATATTTCCATTCCTTTTCTTTCTAACACCAATACAGAAAACCCTTACGATATTGTAGATTAACTATAATTGTAATTTTATCATTTAACATTTACCCAAGAAACTTTGGAAATGCAGCAAAAGATGGCTTAAAGGGGACAACCCGTTGGGCGGTGTACTATTTTACAAATCCAATTTCTTGGTATCCTGTACTTGAACGTGCCATGATCCTGTCGGCCATATCAGCAATTCAACCGTTACTACCTCTACAGGTGACAGTACAGAGCATATAGAAGATGAGGGACTGGGCGTAAACATTTGTCTGTCAGACAGGAAACAACGGTGGCAATAGCTTGAACTCCCCCTTTGAACCTCTATCAGAGAGAAATTTAGCCGGGCGAACCGGTAAGCCTCGAACGCTCTGACTTCGAGGAGCAGCAAGAAAACAGCAGGAAACAAGAAGAAAAGGAAGATGGAATATTAGAGCACGATTCCCCGTCAGTGATGATAGTGACATTCCATCTTTGGAACGAGAGGCTGATTTTTACCTGGGAAGATGAAAATCAGCTTCGTGAGAAGTACTCGCTTCAACAGCGGTATAACGGCTGCCACGCCTTTGCCACCGGACATTGATTCGCTACAACTTTGATTCGTGTTAAACCGCAACAATGACGTTACTGTTTGTCCATTAGGGACGTGATCTTTTCAGTTCTACCCAGAACCGCATTTAAGTTGGTTATCTTGTTTTGGGCTATCGATAAGACGTGTTTATCGGAGGAGCGCCTTTTTGCCCACCTTATCTTGAAGTTCGTTTTGGTTAAACTCTTACAAGCGGGACTTTTATGCAAGTACCTTTGTTCCTCTTCTTTGTACTTCTCTAAATATCTAGTATTTTGGTAGTTTCACCTAGTTTTTACACAAGTTTCCTTATCGCTCGTTTTCGCAACCCTCTAACACGTGGTTTACGTTGTTCACGCTTCGTTAAAACGCTACGTTATCCTTTTTAGAATTTAGCTCACCTTTGTCCTTATAATTTTCATATTTCAGTTTACGCTAAGTACTTGGTTACCTTAACTACGTTAAAGAAAACGATTCAAGGCTTGTGCGCAAAATATATCCTCGCTTCATAGTGTGTCTTCATTTGCGAAACTCATAGTTGTCGTCGAAAATTTGCTTCGCTTGTGTCGGCCGCTACAAGCAGAATTGCGTTCAGTTAAGTTTTCTTTAAATCCCTTGTTATGAAACTATGAGATTGCCGTCATCTTTCGTGTTTTATGCACTTGTTGACATTGCTATTCGTTTCTTTGATACCGACCTGTCTTTATTAATACGTTTGTCCGTGATCGAAGTTTAACGGAAGGAAGTCGTTACCGTGACTGGCTTACGTTATTCGTGCAAAACTTTGAAAACTTCTAAAGTAAACGATATCATTATTTTGATGAAAAGAGATAAACTTACACCTTACGTTGACCATAGACTTCAAAGGATCAATGCTGGTGAGAAAATCATCACCAACCGAAAAGGCCCTCCCAAGTTTAGGAAATGGACTTAGACAAAATTGTATGATCGGGATCGGGATTGGCCAGTATAAACCGTCGGGATTACGGGATTGAGAAAAAATTTTAGTCGGAATTGCGGGATTGAAGAACGCTCTTTTTTTGTAGTTCGTTTTGAAACAGAGTGAATTCATCCAGCAAATTCCCCTTAAAATTATACAGTCATTGATACCGAAGATATGTTGTCTCAAATTCATTTTTTCTCGATCTCCTATTATTCAAAATCTAAGATATCATCGGAAGCTTGAGAAGAAAATAGGTGTGAGGCCTACTTCTAGGCCAGGTTTAAACGTTAATGAAGTTTCTGTAACAGCAGAGAAGTGCACACACCCACAGCGGTTGAGGACAGTCTGTGTTTGTTACCGGGATGGTCATTAACTTAAGAACAAGACTTGTTAACCTTTTACATCCTAAGATCTGTTCTTTGCACATTTTCTGAGGTGCTGACAAGGAGAGTTTGTTTAAAAATCAAGAACTCCTCCAGCTGGTGATTATTTCCTTTATTCTTGTGACGTTAATGTTTGATTCAGGGGTGATATGGTAAGGAGAAATTATATGCATATGATACACACGATGGCCGTGCGCTCCAGTATGGGACTGGAAGGGAAAGGCCTCTGAAGTACAAACAGATCTGTAAAACAGAATCTTGTAGAACTAGATTGGCATTAAACTAAAACGATTTAACTGATGCAATTAAATAACGTAACCAAAGTCCGTTGAATTTCTCTCGGATTGACAGTTAACGCGTGTTTGTATCTGGATGGGAAGAGCAGTGTTTTTCAGGCGTGGTCGGTGAATGCGAGATATTTCAAAAGAAAACATCTCTAAACCTATCAAGATTTTACTAATGCAGATGATTAAAACTGTATGTCATATCTTCCTATCATAAGTACTCAAAAGAACGCAGATTAATATTGTCATATTCCTAATGATCGTTCTTTGCACCACTCTGGGTTTAAGGCCGGGACCGAAAACGAGAAAAAACACGGACAAATTTTGCATAGCACAAACTGATTAAATGTGATGGTCAAAATAAAAAAAAAGAATATGACGTTTACATGAAAGTTCGCCTAAAGTAACTACCAAAGGTTGGTAAACTTTATCACTAGAGAAATCATTTTTCTTTCCTCTTGATTGAGCGCGCATTCTTGTGAAGGAACGGGGCGCAAACATGAAGTTCTCTGTTAAGATAAAAAAAAGTGTGGAGCTTTGTTCCTTTTCTCGGATTGGTTTAGATAGTTGTTGTTACTGTTGTTGTTTCTCTAAACAGTGAATAAATGTTATGTGCTTGTTTAGATTTAATCTGAATAAAATGCAACCTGACCATGCAGTTTTCCTAATCGTTGGAACGTGACCCAGCTTCCCATATCTACCTGTCTTTGACTGGTAGATATGAGAAACAACTTCTTAAGTTGTGCCCATTATTGAGAGGATCGCTTCAATACTCATTTCTCTATCGCGGTTCACATATATGATTTTCACATCTTTACAATCATTTAGTCTTCTGAAGCTCAGCGGTAAAGGGTTCCGAAGTACTGATCGGAAGGTCGTAGGTTAAGTCCTACAAGAACCACTCGAACTTTCTTCTCTCTTCGGTTATGCTTATGTTATTCACAGAACAGCATCTTCGTTCACCTAAATCCCCACGCTCAAAAATTTACCATCTTCATTTACATTATCACTATTGCGCATGAACATCACATATCGACATTCCTATCCTCGCGGTATCAGGGAACTTTGTCGCCATGGCAACGGCTAAGCTGGCCACGAGCTTAATAGCATTTCAGGCTTTCATGCATATGAGCATTACATATAGACCTTCCTATCCTCACACTGATGCAGGAACTCGAAGCTCAGTGGTAGAGCGTCCAAATCGGAAGGTCGTAGATTCGAGTCCTATTGGGAGCCATCGGGGCTTCTTTTTTCTCCGTCAAAGCCTGTGTCATTCTCCGAATGACATTTTACTTCACTTAAATCACGCAGCTTAAATTTACCATCTTCATTTACATCATAACTGTTGCACATCAGCATCGCATATGGACATTCCTATATATCCTGGCAGTTTCCATATACTTTGTCACCATGGAAAGAGCTCAGTTTGCCACGATTGCCCTTAAACATAGCGGTTAAGGGTTCGAAGTACTAATCGGAAGGTTGCAGGTTTAAGTGCTATTAGGAGCACTCGGAGTTTCTTTTTTCTCCGAGTCACGGCCAGTTTCATTCACTGAACAACGTTACACCTCACTGAAATCAAGAGACTTTAAATTTATCGCCGGTCTATATTTAGATCATAACTGTTGCGCAAAGGTATCAAATGTGGAGATTCCTACTCTCGTGGTATCCATGAACTTTTCCACGATGAAACTAGTTAAATGGCGTTACTGGCAACGAGTTATCTATAGCTCAGTGGTAGAGCGTCCGAAATACAAATCTGAATGTTACAGTTTCGTGTTCTATTAGGAGCACTCCGAGTTTCTTCTTTCTGCGATGAAGCTTGTTTCACTTACTAAATACCATCTCACTTCACTTAAATAACCAGATGTAAACATTTTCCATCTTCATTCAGTTTACATCATCACTGTCACGCATATGCATCACATATCGACATTTCTATCCTTGAAGTGTCCAGGAAGTTTGTCAGAAAGGACCTCGATAAACAATAATGCTTGTCATCAGTCTGGTGTAGCTCAGGGTTCATATCATGAAAGGAGTCTCTAGAGTTTTTTTTGTGTCTGTCTGTTTCATTCACAGAATAACATCTTCTTTCACTTCAATAACTTGCCTTAATATTTATCATGTTCATTCACACGTCACTCATGCGTATTATTATCACATATTGACATTCTAGTCCTTCCCGAATACAGGAACTTCATCCCCAAGGGAGCGACCTAGCTTAAGTCGCGTAAGGCTCAGTGGCAGAGCATCCAAAACACTAATCGGAGGGTCGTGAGTTCGAGTCCTATTAGCAGCTCTCGAAGTTTCTTTTTTCTTCGAGTAGGCCTGCGTCATTTACTAAATAACATCTTCCTTCAATTAAAAATTTACCATCTTCATGTACATCGGTTTACTGGCATAAAAAACGATTGGTTTCTATCAAAACACACAAATGATTGAAGTTTGAAACAGTGGTTGTGGCACAACAATCGTTGTCGTTATGCTAATGTTATGGGGAAATCCGGCTAAAGAGTTTTTCGGAAAGGTCTCGTAATTTCCTTGATCAATTTTTCCAAAACTTTGGGATTTTCTTTTTTGCGATATGGCTTCGCTGCTGAGTGAATTTTAATACAATAAATCGAGTCGTTTTAAAATTATGATACCTGTAATTTTACAGTTGACGTGAAAGCCGCGACATGGTACAGTTTACGGAATGAGCTCTAAATTACGTACAAACTAGATGTTATGGTCTGCCTATGCATTTACTGTATATATTAATTGATTTCATGCGCACGCATAGGTTAAAAATAAAAAGCATGTTGAGTTACCGCTATGTTGTCTGGATGTGTTTCTGGATTTCTTGTTAGTACATGACATTAAAATTTCATAAAACCACGCCGTCGATCTATTTACAAGATTGCGAGCCACAGTAATAAATAAATAGGTACTGTCACTATTTAAATACGTGATAAGGAAAGATTCATGAATTAGCTGCACCTTTGCTATAAATGAAAATATTGAAGGCGAAGATGCCCCTGTGATGATTTGACGTCTCGTAGTCGACAAATCAAATCATTGAAATTGAGAATACTCCCTCAATCAGCTTACTTCTCCATAGTAGAGAAGCCTCCCTAACAACCCGAAACAGAAGTAATTGTGGCATGAAAAACATCCAATGAGAGACTGTGATACGACTCAGAATAAATCGGTGGGGCAGGTTAGAAATTGATCGAAGGGGGATTTTGAATTGCAGAATATAGCATCTTCGAAGAAAATTTCGAGTAAAAGCCCCTAAATGAGTCCATTCCTGTTCCAGAAAGATGAAACTTTGATCGATTCAAACCTTAAAAGAGATCACTTAAATTGCAGTTCCACAGAGACCACTAAAACAGTATAACAACAATCACTACACAACTGACAACTGATCTCAATTGTCAATACAACGTTTTCGTTCCAAAACAAAATATCTATGATTCTCGACATCTTCGTCTAGTCTTTATCGAAACAGACAGAGAATACTATTGCTTGGAACTTTCCAACTCCTCATGTGAAGTCCATGCCAGATATGTATTCCAAAACAGTGATAGTGATACCCTCCCTCCCCATCCCCTCCCCCCCACTAACCCCTACAAAAATTTCTTGGACAGACAACACTACTGCTTGGAATGTTCCAACTCCTTGTGCGAAGTCCATGCTAGATATGTATTCCAAAACAGTGATACAACATTCACAATCAGCACTCGCAGATGGGCTGGAAAAAAATAAAAATTACAGAACTGAACAGCTGGCCAGATTTGGTAGTTCACAACCATATTGGGATAAAATTCCTCGTAGATTTTGTCACTAATCTCTTTGATGGTGCGACGTTCAACGACTCCGACAGCACCGTAAAATAAAACAAGAAACACTGGCGCCAGGATGCTTTGATCTACTGTCATTTTCCGGATGGCATTTCCAGGGCTTTTGCGAGCAAATCTTTTATCCAGTTGTGCGTACCATACGTGGAATATGGGGCCAATCACAACAGTTCCGACAGCCGCCATTCGGGCTGTACGAACCAAATCATGCTCTCGCAATGGGACTTTCTCAACGTATTGTTGTGCAATGAAGTCTCCAGCTCCGAGAAGTGCTCCTGAAAATAAAACAAGCTAAATAAGAACACCATGTTATTTTTGTCAGCAGCCTCTTTTGTGTCACCCTTTATTTTTTCTCCTTCCACCTGATTCACCTTCTGGATATTTTTTCGAGACTAAATCCACCACTTCTTCTGCATAGGGGATCATGGGCAATTGTGAGCGGGCAAGCATGTATGTGTAATGTATGTGTGTAAGTAATGTAGAATAACGTAATGTGAAATGTTAACATCAGATTTTTTAAAATATACAGAAATTATCAGAAAACTATTCAGCGTTATAATTTTCTGAGTTCTTGTAATGAACGAAGTTGCAAAAAATGGTCTCCGGCCTCACAGAGCCACAACTAAAGACAGTGAGATCCACCTACTCCCTTCCCTGGACGGGCAGTTGTGTAAAATCAAGTAAGCCACGTCAGTGAAGTCTGACGGGTCAAATACTTCAGGCAGAAAAAGTTAGACCTGTGAGTAAAATAAATCCTGGCAAATAAAATACGCAAGCCAAGGAAAGTGGGAAAACGAGGGAAGCACGGAACAAGAAACGATTAGGCCACACTAGGCTATAATTTATGTCCTCATATATAAAGTACCAACCGAGGACCCTGGGACAAAAACAAATGAAGGTGACAGATTTCTGTGCTCGAGACTAGGCTGACGCCACGAAGTAAAGAACCACATACTCATTTTCGGCGATTTTAATGTACACTTAAGAGTCATATGTAAAGTTTACCGTCAATGCTGCTTTAGAGAAAGTCTTTGAAACAAAAGAAAGTTGCAAAAACGAACACTAATTTTAGTTTCCTGATAATTCTTACTCCTTTACTGTTCTCTACTTCGCTACCGTAAGCAGCGTTCACTGATTTTATGTAAGACAGTTCCGAGACTTTGAAAGATACACTTGATTTTTCGGTGGCCAATCCATTCTGCTTTACGAAGAGGCCATGTAACATTTCTAAAAACGATTGATCAGGACTGAAGTGATTCTTAGAGCTCGTAATGTCATAAAAACCAGAAGTTCTCTAGCTGAGTGGTCGACGGCATTTGAAATATCTTGCAAGGATTCGGAACTGATCCTTGAAAAAGTTTTCGCTCGTCTTTAAAAGATTATTTTGTATTGAAAATAATGTATTTCGTATGTACTTCGCAAAGAGGACTGTGAGAGCAAATTTTGACCGAATTAGATCACGAGGAGCCGCGGTTTCAATCTGAACGAGTTTGATTTTGCGATGACTTCCTATACCACAACGAATTTCAACGCAAACTAGAAATTCCTGCAGAATAAAAATCTGACTTACCTGGAAAGATTTTGAGAAACCTAAAGTGGAGTGGCAGTAAATGTATGAGAAATTAGAAAAATAAGTGCCTGTGGTTTGAAAAACACATGCGACTCTTCGAATTATTGTGATGTCAAGACAAATATTTAATTACCTTGCGTTCGATAGACCGTAATCCCAGTTAGAGTGCAGAACACTGGTTGGGAACGTAGACCCGAGAAGTAATTTGCGGTTTTTATGACCAAGCCGCTGAAAAATTATAAATCTTGCCCACAAATTTTTAAATTTACCTCAAAAATTAGCTTGTTAGGAACGATTAATGATTCAAGGGTCAAAGTCTACCTGTCGAGATGAGCTGAGTTTTCCACGGATGAATCTCTAAACATCGCATGTACCATCTCCAAGCACGAAGAGGTAATCTCATGGCACCACTGAATCCTTGTTGTTACACTAACGTTTCACAGCCCAGCCATGATGCTTTCCTAACTATTTATCAAGTTGCTTGTATTGTGAAATATGAATGACGTTATTACCGGCAGCAGTGAACCTTGAATATATTGTGGCCTGAGTCAAATTTGCATTTCGCCGTACAATATTCAATATAAACCAGCATCACCGCTACCATAGAAACATAAAAATTTTAAACGAAACTTTGAACTCGGACCAAATGATTTCCAGAATGTTGGGTTCGGAAATTCATATCAGAGATTTCAACGGAATTATCGCTACGATAAATAACTTTCGAACAAGAAATAAAGTTGCGAATGACTTTTACCCCACAGCGAAAGTTGCACAAATGACTATTCCCAGGTGAACACTGGCTACCCCCATGTAGGGGAGGGGAGGGGAGGCCGCACCTCGTCGCTAATGTCCGAAAGCAAAAAGTCTCCCGAAATTGAAATTGATAACCCTCACAAGGTTGAGCTCGTGCACATCATGTGTGCAGTAATTATAAAAATTTCAGCTTCGAACAGTTAACAGTTTCGTTGGTAAGGAGACAATAAAACGAGGAAGGAATAAGGTCGGTTTTTACATCCATTCCCAGGAGTTTTATTTATCTTTTCCCTATGACACTGTCGATGATGTCATAAGAGGCGGTGATCAGTGAAGGGAGCCTGTTACGGGCTAAACGGACGAAAGTAAGAGGTCTTAGTAGTACATGCATAGCCAATTCTTTATTTAAAGAGAGTAGGCTAAATAGCCAAAAGGCTAACTGTGGTCGTCAGGTCTTACAAGGCGGCGGTAGACGCTAGTAACTGGTTCTTTGTTTTAAACCCCTGCAGCATTCAAGCTGTCGGGTTTATTATTATTATTATTATTATTATTATTATTATTATCATAATTATTATTATTATTATCATTATTATTATTATAGTGTAATAGTGTAAGTTTTGCGGGAATATATCGGACGGTCCAAAGCGGGCAAAAAAATATTTCTTTTTCTCTGTTGAAGCCAGTTATTGCTCGGGGTTCCTTTCATTTCACCAGCCTTGGACGTAACGCTTCTACACACAGCCTTTCGATGATGTTGGTTAGCCTGTGGCGCTCCAGGAGTGCGCGCGCGCGAAACTTCCGCTTTTTCTGAGAAATATAATTAAATTACGCCATAGGAAAACAAAATGGGTTTGGTTAAAATCGAAGTTCTTTTCAAGGAATGCCTTGAACCAGGAGCCCATTAAATAACTCCTACTTGAAAGCAAAGCAAAATGCTACGATCTAGAATTCCAATACTGATAAGCCTCGATCATATTCGGCCTAAGGATCCCCGATTGTCGCTTGGTGTGGCGAGTATTATCAGCCATTTGAGCCATAACAAAATCGAGTACAATGCTCACTCGTACAATATCGCTCAAGAAGTGCAGGTTTACCCGTTAGCAAGGAATATCCTTGACACGATTTGGAGCCAGTACAATGATTCGAAATATGATCTCATGTTTGGAGGCTTTGTTTGGAATGAGCCTTTCCTCAAGACGATTCTTCGCGAACTGAAATATTATGACTACCCAGGTCGGATTGTTATTGCAGGTCCTCAGGTGTCTTACGTCGAGAAAGGAGAGCTAGAAAAATACTATCCGGAGGGAGATGTATTCATACGAGGGTATGCAGAACAGGCTGTGTTAGAACTAGCGGAAGGGAAGGATAATATCCTAGGGGTCCACTTAGCAAACACTCCAGACAAGGGCTTTCATACGTCTACCAAATTATCCGACCTTTCGTCGCCTTTCCTCGACGGAACATTAGAACCTCAGCACTTCATGCGTTGGGAAACGACCCGTGGTTGTCCTTACAGCTGCTCATTTTGCCAGCACAGAGATCCATCACCTTCTTCGCCAGCAAATAAGAGCTGGACTAAAATCCAGCACTCGCAAAGGGATCGGATTCAATCGGAAATCGAATGGTTCGTCGACAATAATGTCCACGATCTTGCTGTGCTAGATCCCACTTTTAACACGCTGAACGGAAATATGGTACTTGACTTTCTAGAACGTGCCAGATTTTCCGGAAAAATCAGCCTTCAGTGCAGGCCTGAAAGAATCACGGAGGCGTTTTTAGATCAGGTAGAGTCCCTGAGCAAAACTACAGGAGCTGAAGTAGTTTTGGAGTTTGGTGTGCAAACACTCGACCCCGAAGAGCTGCTGCATATAGAGCGAGTGCGCAATGCTAACACATATAAGTTAGCCGAGAAAGTTTTACACAAACTGGCACTTGTTAATCAACGTAGAATTAAGCATGAAGTCAGCCTCATCTTTGGCTTGCCCCTGCAAACCGTAGAGAGTTTCCAGCAGACTATACTGAAGCTTCAAGAGACGACCGATGGCTCGCTGGTCGCTTTTCCTCTGATGTTGTTACGAGGAACACCCTTATATTACCAAAAGAAAAAATTTGGGCTGATCGAAGGTACGGATATCGCACATCCTCTGATAGATCGGATCCAAAAATTCATTCCTCATGTTGTAACCTCTCCTTCTATGAGTTACATAGACTGGAATACGATGGCGAATATTGCTGTTTCTCTACAAGACCAAACAGAGCCAAAAGAGGAGAGTGGAATACATGCATGACATGATACGCAGGTTCTGAAACTTCATCTCAGTCAATTTTTAAAACTCCTAAACTCGCATTACACTGCTAAAAAAGACTGCGCGAGGGAATTGTTTTCATTATATTATTTCACCGTAGGTAAATACTTTGTATATAATATCTAATTATATAGTTTAATATAAGAATGCTTCGGAGAAAAATTGTTAGCTGAGTTTTTAAATATAATGCTTTCTTGAGAAAGTCACCTTATTGTGTTAAGGAAGTAATAATCTAATGCTTCTTTGACCACAAAAATCAATTGATCAATTTTAATTTTTGCTTTTTATATTCCAATGTAAATAGTCTACAAGTGCTACAGGCTGTAAGCCACCTAGTATCAGTAAAAAAAATTCAATTTAATACAGATCATAAAAGCCATTTAACAATTGAATGAAGAAACCAGCAGAACTGCTCAACTGATACTTAGAAGAGAATCATATGATGAAATATAGCCAAATTAAGAATATATATATATATATGTATAGTATCTGGGCAACTGCCCACCTACCCCTCCCCTGACTCAACAACAGTCAATTGATAACAACTTAGGGTTAATGTTGGGTTAGGGGAGGGGTAGGTGGGCAGTTGCCCAGATACTCATATTGATCCTATATATTTAAGGTAAATGAACTTACTGTAAAAAAAAATTGTTAATTTTTTACGTTCTGTGACGAATTCAAGACATCGAAAATATTGTATGTATCCATGAGCGCCATGTGAATTAATAGAACAGAGAGAGGCTTAATTTTGACCTCAGAGTGGAATTAAAGAGGAAATTGTTTTTCGTCTTGCCACGAATATGAGACAAAGATCAACTTACACTCTGCCTTTGCTTATCCAAGCACTATGTAGGGCATGAGTCCCTTGCAAACCACGACAGCGACAGCGGCGAGGCCAGGGTAAAGCAAAAAAAGATCTTATGGGAAGCTGAACAATAGCCCAGCACGTGCGTTTAAAACTTTGAATATTCCTTACTGAGCTGTCCTCTGCACAAGCATGTGCAACCACGTGAAATCAGACCAAGATTTGCTTGGTTCGTGAACGGAAACGACAGCAAATTATTCCAGTTTCCATCTGGAACTCAACGCTGTCCACCTAAGTTTTGCTTAAGTTGATGTGTGGCAAAGGGACGCTTGACATAAAATACAATATTCTTTTTTTGCTCGACGTCTTTCCAGTCGCTGAAACTAACCACTGACATCGGAAGGTCTATTGAGGATTCATGGGGACCCAAAATTTTTCCTTCGTAACAAGACAGACTAAACCAACTTTCCGAGCTCAAAATATATTTCATCTTTATTAGGTTAGCTTATTCACCTTTTGATCTACAATGTTGTAGTTCAGTTTCTTGCAGCCTACCTCCATAGGTGCAACTCCTTTCCTACCCCTCCCTCACTTGGCAAGGAGCGTTGAGCCTACCCCTACTAAGTTTTCCTAAAGAACAAGAGTTGTGCAAAAGTCACGCAGTCATCCAACTCGTCACGCAGAAGAAAGTGAAAAGACGGTGAAGTGAAAGACCGGAAGGTTGAACAGATATGGCACTTATACAACCAAAGTCGAAAGTAAGTTGGTGAGAGTGAAGTTATTTTAGGTTTGACTTCAAAATAACTAGCCACGTCGGCCGATTTCTGCGTAGTAACCAAATATATCTCGTAGTGCTGTTGTAACGTTTCACAGCATGTCTGTCGTAGCCTGTCGTAGCTGTAACGTGAACCTATCGTCTTAAATGTTTATACAAACCTTAAACCGTATGCTTTTTTAAAGCATTACAGGGGTCTCATATCATTAAAGGGGTCTCATATCTTTGATTTCACGGTGTAAGATTACCTTAAACATAAGTTTACTCTGTGCAAATGTGAAGTGATTTACACGCCGCGGCGTAGCCGGTCTAAGGATACGTATAAACCCGCTAACACGTGTTGTGACGGGTATCTCTGTTTCCTAAATCCTTGCCTCTTTTCAATCCGATCTCTTCGTTTTGAATCAACTTCAGAGCGCATATCAGTGAAAGTTAGAATTTTCTTTGAGTCAATCGTTATGTTTACTCTCGTTCTTCAAACTCCACGTTGCTAAATCCAAGATCTTGAGTCATTGAAATTTAATCCAATGCGATCGATGATACTATGTTAATATTTGTATTTCAAGTCAAGGTTAAATTCAGAAACATCTCTAAGACTCAGCACTCTCCTGATGCTCAAGCATAGCTTTTAAGTAAGTCGTTATTACAATTAAATTTTCTGGAAGTTTGGCAAAATAAATCAGAGTCAAGCCATATTTGTGTCCATATTTGGGCCTCGTCCAGAGAAAGTTGGGAGGGACTGGAGGTGTTGTTTCGTGTATCATGTTACTCTATACAAAATTATATAATAAGCTCAGTTATGCAAGCACTCTGATTGGTTCTCACTTATGATCTATTGAAGGACAGACATATAGATGATGTCATCATTAAATCTTTTTTTCTGTATATTTTAATTCTTTATTTTATAAAACAAATAGATTCCAAGTTGCCATGCATCTGTTCAGTAATAGATCACAAATGATGTCAAAATGTGGTAGCTTACCACATTTTGATGTCATCTGTGATCTATTACTGAACAGATGCATGGCAACTTGGAATCTATTTGTTAAATAATGCATTTTCCTTACACTAAACCTAGCTACTTTAATATGTATGGGAGGAGAGCTGCATTCTGAATGGCAAGTTTAGTTTGGTTAATGACCTAATATATAAAGATCAGCAAGTGTTTGCATTGTTAGAAACTTTGGGAGTCCCATTTGAATTTAATGGCAAACTTGTCACATGCTTTTACTTCTGGAGTACATTCAACTCCCAATGACTTGATCAAATTTCTATACCTCAAGCCTTGCAGTAACTTGAATCAAAATGATTTCCCATGGATTTTTACGCAATCCTTTTGAATTTTACTATATGTCTATATGTCTAATAATTAGCCCAGCTAGTCAGGACAAAACAGCCAGCCCTATGAGCACTGTAATCATATAATAAAGAACATCTGTTTATTCTTTTATTCTTTTTTTTTTCCTTTTTTTTTTTTCCAGGTAGAACTGCATGTTCATCTTGATGGAGCCATTAGGATACAGACCCTAATCGATTTGGCAAAGTAATGCACTTATGGTCACCCTTGCAGAGGTCCTTGCTTGGGCACAGTTTGCCTGCTAGGGGACTGGCTATTTACAGAATAATATAATTGCTCTGATGATTATAGAAATGCGTGTGCTTTGATTGGTAAAAGATTGCATCATATCTTGCTATAATCACTTAGCACAAGGTGGTTGTAACTGAAGCACTAAATTTCAAAATGGTTGCCTAGTATTTTGTCAACATCACTTAGGAAGTGTTAAACACAATATGAGAAAATACAATTCTGAAGGCACAAAATATGCTGCTAAGTTTGGCATTACCCTTTGAAAAAAAAAGATATAAAGTTTTTGCTGATGGGGGGAGGGTAGGCCTGATGTCATAGGGTATTTGAAGGTTTGCTTTTCACAAGACATGGCTAGATTTATTTGTGGCAATTCACAGTTAGGAGTGAAAAGATAAATGGGAAAGTATTAGATCCACAAGTGAATATTTTACTTATTTGGTTGTAATTACAGGAAGAAGCAATATCAGCTACCTTCTTTTGATGAGAGTTGTTTAAAGGACTATGTGTCCATTAGTCTAAATAAACCATCAACTTTGGCAGGTTTTTTGGAATGTTTCAAAATTTTTTACCCTCTTATTCGGTGAGTACCACAAACTCAACCCACCATTACCAGAACTTAACTTTAAACTTTGATCATTTGTACACACCCCCACCAATTGTTAAACCAGCCACTGGATGTATGGCTGAAGGTCCCATTCATAAGGGAAGTTTGGAGGCATGCTTTGCCCTTCCCCCACCCCTAGAAAATGTTGAGAACTTTAAGTGTCTCAGGTGCATCTTCAGTAATCTTACCCAAAAAACTCATGAATTACACAACTCAGAATATAGTCGCTACAAAGTACAATTTCCAAACTGCTCATGCCAATTTCTCAAGTTCATATTCCATGTATAGCCACAAACAAGTGCTCTCTGGTGGAACCAATTCTTGTTGGCAAGACTCGCCTGTCCTCTCCATGATATGGGTTTTGCATGTCATGCTTTAAATGCTTATACTAGACTACTATGAAATCAATGACTGCATTCTATTTATAATGGTAATAAGACCAAGTGTAGTCCAGTTGGGTCTGTAATCATATGAGTGATTAACAAAATCAGATAACTGCGAAGCGGGAATCTGATTTGTTAATCACTCATATGATCACAGATGGAATTGGATGACAAGAAGTCCTGTTACCAATTAATCATAACCATTTCAATTTCTGAAAAAACAAATACACCTAGAACAAATATCTCCAGTGGAGACTATGTCTTCAGTTAAGAATTCCTCCATTTTGGAAATTCCCCAGTTTTTCTTTGGATTAGTAGTTGTTGCTATGGTTATTTTGATCATTTTTGTGATTGGTGGATTAGCTGAGTGGACTTGAGTATGATTGGCTGCTTCAACTTCCGATTACAGGGGTGCAATTAAAGTCAACTGTTCAATTACACTGTCCCATCACAACTGTACAGAATGATTGGTAAAAAATGAAGCTGTGAATGCACCGATAATATTTGAGGAATTTGTAATGGTTATGATTAAAGTGTGGACAGCACTGATTAGGTAATCACATCAGTTAACCCTTTCACTCTCAAGATCTCATTAATAATTCTCCTCACTGTCTGCCATAGAATTCTTATGAGGTTGGTCTGGAGAGTCTGGTATTGGATCTACTAATAACCCCTGATTGATATTTTTCTCAATTCTCATCACTCTCCGGCTTGATATTGTGTTGATTTTGTACAGAGAAATTCTGTCTTGGTCACTTGTGGAAGTTGAAGGGTTAACTGACTGAGTTCAGCTTTGATTATGATTTTAAAGAGTTTTGAAGTGGTTGAAAGCGGCACAATGATCTACTTACTCTTGCTAATGAAAGTTAATGATTGTTTTCCTGACTTTTCTTTTTAAAATTAGAAATGATACTGAAGCAATGGAGAGAATAGCATATGAATTTTGTGAAGACCAGGCAGCATGTGGTGTCCTGTACTTTGAAGTTCGTTACAGTCCTCATGCCCTTTGTACAGAAAACTCAGCCTTTCCAGACCAGGAAAGAGTGTCCCCAAAAGCTATAGTGGAAGCAGTGAATAAAGGATTGAAAAAAGGAGCTGAAGATTTTGGTGTGATTGCACGTTCTATTCTCTGTTGTATGCGTCACCTCCCTGGTAATGTATAGATGACATTTAAAAGATTTTATTCAGCTGGTTAATTAACACAGAAATTTATCATTGATAGTGAGTTGTGGCCTTCAACTTCAATGAGAGGAAGCTAAAAAGCCCTTTATCTGCAGGAATCACCTTGCAGTTTGCTAGAACTTTTCTTCTAAGCTTTTTCCCACTTCACCCTCCATGTAGCAATTCTCGTTTGTGATAACCCAATGTAAGGTTTGTGGGAATACCTTCCAATTTTTCTCTGGGTTTGCTGCCAGCCTTCCCCACCTCCTGAACACATTGATTGTTAATAAGGGTTGAAATGAATTAAATTTTATTTAACAATGTGTTACTCAAATTTTAATGAACTGTTATCTTATTGCTAAGCGAGAACAGATTTAGACAAATTTACAAACACATTGAAGTATCATAAAAACTAAGATTACTTTTTGAGAAGATCAAATGAAAACACTGGTATAAATCAACTTCTTGTATCATTATGAAATCAAGAACTTGGCATTTTTTAATAAACAAGTTTACCAAGTTGTATGAAATCTAAACATCAACAGACATACAGTCATTGCCTTAGAAAAGTGGATGTGTTCTTTAATGCTAATTAATTATGCATGTGTGTAATTAAATTTGTGTTTGTTTTAAGATTGTTCAATGGAGGTTGTGTCCCTCTGCCAGGAATTTGCAAGTGAGGGAGTGGTAGGAATTGATATTGCTGGTGATGAGCCGGTGTGGGAAGGACAAGCTATGGAAGGACATGTGATTGCATATAAGGTCTCGTTGTGCTTTTCATCTGTCTGTGGCTATGGTTATCATGATGTATCCAGAATATATATATAGATGCATTATTGGCCATGAGGTAAAGGTGGCTGGATAGTAGCCAAGTTCTTTTTTTCTGTTTTTATGGACCGAGATGAAATGGAGGTTACTAAAAATGCAAAAGAAGAACAAGGCTGATGTCCAGCCAATTCTTGACCCAACAAGCTTGGTAAATGAAGGATTTATTATATGGCAAAAGAGATCTGTCATTTAGTAAGAATCAAGACATGTTTATTTCAAGAGACCTGAAAGAAAGCCAACTGTGTTTTTAGCACAGTAAACCCACAGGAGTCGTTTCTTTGTTTGTTGACTGTCTTCTGCTGCTTTTTGCAACTCTATGGCTGATATTGTCCAAAAATTATAAACTTTGTATGTCTGCTCCAAGTAAATTTTTTTATTGTATGTGATCAAAGGGGACAATCCCAAGCAGGCAAAATGGGCCAATCTTGCTTACTTGAGTAGCCAATCAGAACACAGGATTTGATTGATATTGCCCAAGAGCACTGCCAGCAATATAATAACTTAGATTTTAAGATATGGGGTTAAAAAAGCAAAATATTTGTGAAATAACATAATGTATAATAACTTCTGTGTAGTGTGGACTATAATAATTTAGAGGGACATAATTCCATGTAGCACTTGTGGCAACCAAAAATCTAATTCAGAAGATTTCAGGCAGTGTCACCCCAAGACATGTTTAATGAGGTATTTAGGGCTATTTTACAGATTGAGATTGAAATGTAATAGACCAAAGTTGACCTTTACACAAATCTTTAATCTTGCAAGCAATCCACAAACTACAATTCATGACCAATCTCACAATCAGTCAATCAATCAATTGAACGATTATAAACTGAAACAATAAGATCTATCAATCTAAAAGAAATGCTGCAAAAAATATAATAAAAAATTGCATGTAAAAAGCTAGGCCTTAACGCCAATAAGGAGATTAAAATGATGATAAAACAATACAAATAAACCAATACATTAACTATATTAAAGTACAAAAATTGTAAGAATTTGGTGGCTGGTTAACAGCCTATCATTCTTATCTAAATAGTGGGCATTCACTTGAATCTGACACAATTTTTGCCTTTAAATCTTGATTCAATTCAAAATACATCATATTATAACAAAATATCTGTTTGTATACTTTCACCCAAAGCTGCAAAACTAAATTAGAAAAAACAAAGTTACAAAGTTACTCACATATTGGTCCCGCTTGTGCCAAAGGTTTAAATCGAAAAGTCGAAAGTTCATGAAGACTAATCAAAAACTTGCGAAGAACTGATTATAGGGACACTAAACTTGCTTTTATATGCACATGGTGACACTGAAAGGTCCAATTACAAAAACAAATAGAAACATAAACAAACAGATAACTTGTAACTATGTTCTTATCTAGGATAACAGAAATAATTAAACTAATCAATAATCAATTAAATAAAAATGAGCTTTCTGGCTAGTGTCCCTAACATTCCATATTCACAATCCCTCAAGCTCACTATTGACCTATTTCCCTTTTTCTGGTTGATGGCATGATTGGTCTACCCTGTAAATGTCTTACTGACATAGTAGGTCTGCCATTTATGAAAGAAATCTTTTTTTTATGCAGGAAGCTAAAAGGCTCAATATACATAGAACAGTCCATGCTGGAGAAGCAGGCCCAGCTGCCAATGTGAAAATAGTAAGTATTGTTAAAACAAAAGTATTTTAAACCAGAAGTATGTCACTATGTTATCCATCCAAGAGCTATTTCCAGATTCATTGTAGAATATAAAGAAAACCATTTATTGTTGACCACCTTTCTTAAATGGTGAGCATCAAAGTTCTTCCCTTATTTTCATGTAAATACATCTTCCTTGCCTTAATGTTAACATATCTTAAAAAAATAATCTTCATCACTCAAAAGCAAAGCTAGGAAGCCTATGTGAACTTCAGAATCAATATGTCAATGAAGAGCACAATTACAAGCCGGCACGCAATTTGTTGGTTTGAAGTGAAATCATTACCCTATTCATTTTAAGAGCTTACATCATAAGAGTTGCTACAGCAACATTCTTTTCCTGCCAGCATTCCAGTGGCATAGAAGGTCAGACAGAGACCAATGGGAGAGTTTCTTGAAAGTTATAATAGCTTAACAGGCTTAAAGCCATATTCTAATCTGTTACTCTAAGGAGAATAACAGTACAAGCCTTCGTTTCATTTTCTGATATTTTTATTGTTTGAAATTCAAAACTGTTTTAATTAACAGATGTTAGTTTTAATTAGTTATAGCATAAATCCATTTGAAATAAAAACATGACAAAAACAGCTTTGGGAATTGCAAACCTCTAGACTTTTGAGAAACAAACTGAATGAATTGATTTGCACTGAATTTGTAAAGAATAATTTTCAGTGGTCTCGGTCTGTAATGACTACTGGAGAGCTTGTCAGTAGTAGCTGATGATTTCCAGCATCCATGGTTTGGCTGGATATGTTTGCTTGCCTGTCTGACCATGAGAACTCTGGGTACAGAATAGTTTCAATGCAGGGGGTTTTAAACATCATAGGCAACCATGGAGGACTTTCCTGGTAAGTAGCTGTGTTTTCTTCCTTATTCTTTTTTAACAAGGATAAGGCACCGATGTTAAAGGATCGAGAAGAAAACATAGTTACTCACCAGGAAAGTCCTCCATAGCTGCCCACGATGTTTTTTAACAGTTTCAAGACCCCCTGCATTGAAACTATTCTGTCCCACATCCCCGAGTCCCATGTCCCAGTTCCCATGTCCCAGTTCCCATGTCCCAGTTCCCATGTCCCAGTCCCCATGTCCCCATCCCACTTTTAGTCACAACCATAATGCAATGTGATTCAAAGTGGAGTCAAAGACATTGGAAATGCAGGAGGGTGGGCTTTTGGTTTCATTCTTTCTATGAGAAGGCAGAATATGCAACCATTTGTAGATGGTAAGAGGCCTGCAAAGGGGTCAGTATTAGTGCCAGACCCCAGGAAAACCTTGTCTCCAATCTTCTCACAGGCAGAGAAACATGTTTCCTGTAACCCTAGTGATGAAGGCCTGCTTGCAGGCTAATAGCAAGGGGTGACCATCATGCAGGCATCCCTTAATGCCACTCCTAATTCCCTTGCATGGGAAGTATTGAGAATTTGTGTAAATCACTAGCATTCATTTTACATTTTGTTTTTGTTGAGGCATTAGACATCCTTCATGCTGAAAGAATAGGCCATGGATATCATGTCATTCAAGATGCTGAACTCTATCGGAGAACAGTCAACGAAAGAATTCACCTAGAGGTTAGAAAAAGAAATTGCAATGAAGGCTTTGAAAATGTGAGTATTGTTCTTTAAGACAAGAATTTTCTTTGTTGATGCCCTCTGATAGGTGTGTCCTACATCAAGTATACTAACTGGTGCTGTAAAGCCATGTTTCAAAACACATCCACTAAGAAGGTAGGAAGTAATTTCTTAAAAACAAATTCTGAACTAGATTAAAAGTTAAATAAAGAGAGCTGGTCCAAGAGATAAATTGGCTTCATTTGTTGGGAGTTAAAATTTTTGCTAATTGTGAACACAGCTAATTTAGAATAATAATAATAATAATAATAATAATGATGATGATGATGATAATGATAATAATGATAATAATGATCATTATTATTGTTATTATTGTTATTATTATTATTATTATTATTATTATTATTATATAATTATGCAAATTTTATAGTGAGCCTCGAGTGCTGGGAGAAAAATATGTAACCTGCATATATACTTTCTACATTATTATATATTTGATAGATCTCTACAAGTAAAAACTTATGTATGCAGCAGGGGATGGGTGACCATAGAAGCTATCTGCTGTCCTTCAAACAAGATTAGCTTTGTTGACACTGACATTGAAAATTTAGCTTATAGTTATAGGATACCACTTCTTAAGTTCTGTATAGTTAGTCAATTTAACTTTATCCTTCATTAGAATTGCTTAGTTGTAAAAAAGTTAATGCCTATCGGTGTGAAAGTGTTCCTTGTTATCCTTAATTAGTAATTAGAAGATTATTAAATTGTTACCATTAGAGCAATGTAAAGTGGACCCAATAATATGTAGGTTGTATTAAAAGGCTTGTTTAACTTAACGGTTTTGAAATGATATCTTTTTGTTATTGCTACTTTTACTCTTTGTCCAAAAGGAGTAAGATCCCTTTTTACTGGACAAGATTGTTGCAAATGTGGCTTTGAGCAAATATCCTGTGTTTGTTTTCTAATTTAGTTTTATTTTAATATTGAGTGTTCTTTGTTTCAAGGTTTGTTGAGGATGGTGTCAATTTTTCCATTAACTCAGATGATCCACTTGTTTGCCAAACAAGAGTGGACCTTGAACAAGGCGTTGCTTTTAATAAAATTGGACTGACCCCTGCAGAATTAACCCAAGCGGTATGTTATGTTGTCTCTTTCTTGGCTTTTGCAATGCAAAGCTGCGTGATAGTTAAGCTACTCTTTCACAAAACAGAGCACTGGAGTTTAGATTAGGATGTTTGGGTGCAATGAAGCCCTACCCTGCACTGCACATGTTTGTTCTTGGGTCAAGTACACAACAGAGCAATTTTGAGTGTTGAAAGAAATCTGGAATGGTTTTGCTTTCACTTTACCTTGCACTCTGATTGGCCCAGGAAACTCGTGCCAACCAATCAGATGAAAAACTAAAACCAATTACAACTAGGTCATACATGTTTTCCCACATTTTGCGCAAGTTATTTCGTTTTTATGTGCGTACATGTGAGTAGGTAAGTGAATTTCATTGGCTTTTTAAAGGTATCTTCCTTTCTTCTAATTGGCCATTTAGATTACTTTGGTTTTGGTTTTACGACATTCAGTCCAGTCCAGTTGCTTCATACAATAAAAATAATTTTAAATTCCAGCAGCGATGAATATTAGCTTATGGCAAGCTCATGTTCAGTGGAAAAAAAATGGGCAGGCAAGAATGAGCGGGAGATACATGTATGTGAAATGCACCCTTGCTCGCTGGGCTGGGTATAAATGTGTGCAAAATGCACCCTGGCTTGTTAGGCAGAATAGACATGAATACAAAATGGACCCTGAGTTGCTGGGTGGAATATACATTTATGCAAAATGCACCCTGGCTTGTTAAGCAGTTGTTAAATGTATGCAAAATGCACCCTGGCTTGCTGGGCAGAATATACATATATGCAAAAAGGACCCTGAGTTGCTGGGTGGAATAAACATGTACAAAGTGCATCCTGGCTTGTTGGGCAGAATATACATGTATGTGAAATACATCCTGGCCTGCTGGGCAGAATATACATAGATGCAAAATGCATCCTGGCTTGCTGGGCAAATTATACATTTATGCAAAATGCACCCTAGCTTGCTGGGCAGAATATACATCGATGCAAAATGCATTCTGGTTTGCTGGGCAGATTATGCATGTATGCAAAATGCACCTTAGCTTGCTGGGCAAAATATACATGTATGTAAAATGCTCCCTAGCCTGCTGGGTGGAATATACATGTTCTATGTAAAATGCATCCTGGCTTGCTGGGCAGAATATACATGTATGCAAAATGCATCCTGGCTTACTGGGAGGAATATGCATTGATGTAAAATGCATCCTGGCTTGCTGGGCAGATTATACATGTATGCAAAGTGCACCCTAGTTAGCTGGGTGGAATATACATGTATGTAAAATGCATCCTGGCTTGCTGGGCAGAATATGCATGTATGTGAAATGCATCCTGGCTAGCTGGGTGGAATATTTATTGATGCAAAATGCATCCTGGCCTGCTGGCCAGATTATATGTGCATGCAAAATGCACACTAGCTTGCTGGGCAGAATATACATGTATGCAAAATGTACTCTAGCCTGCTGGGTGTAATGTACATGCATGTAAAATGCACCCTAGCTTGCTCATAACATGTTTTGCCACACTTGCCATTAGTTTTTTAACTTATTTTTCTTCCTAAGAAGTGTGTTGATATAACAAAGAGGTGCATACATGATATCATTGTGTTTTTCAGACATTTAATGCTGCAAGATCTGCATTTCTTCCGGAAAATGAGAAGCACAACCTTATTGAGCAACTGAAATTAGTCCATGGAATATATTGATCCTTTAATTAACACAAATCAATAATGATTACTATAGTTGATATAACAATATATGTGGGGTTATTATCCAAGCACGAGGTAAAGATGAGGAGACATTGACAAAGTTTTTTTTCCCCCATTTTGTCTCAGTCCATGAAAACACACACAAAGAGGTTAATATCCAGTCTTCTTGGCCAAACAAGCACTAGGAACCAATTCTTCTGTTTCCTATTTTTCCAGTTTCTGAACATCTCTATATCATGAAATCCAAGCACGTGAATCTCTCTTTTTTTTGTCATTCATTTTGTCTGGAGCAGAACTTGCTAATTGAGATTGTTGGATATGTTAGGATCTAGTCTTATTGGGAAATGTGCCATCCATTTCCTTGCATTTGATGTAAAATTTTTGAAGATGTTATTAGCAAAGAGATTAACCTAATATTTATATTTTTTTCTAGAAAGGGTTAGGTGGGTTATGGGTTGTTTACTTCAAAATTCAGAAAGCTGGCTGATTTCTGAAATGCTCACGAATTATAGATAAAAAATATTTTACCTCGGAAATTTATTTTTATCTCAAACAAAAAAAAAACCATGTAAGAAAAAGTGTTTTAGTTGTTGTTAGTTTTGAAATTCTCACTATCATTATTTATATTACTGTTGTAAATGTAGTACTTGAGCTCATATTAAAAAGAAATAAATCTCTACCCTCTAAATTGAAGAATGTTTCCTTCTTTAATCCCCAGATCATTTTGTTTTTGCAATAGTGTTTTCATACAAAAAAAGCTCAATCAAGGAGAAAAAGTCCAGTACGAATTTGTTAGCATATATGTAAAACTACCTGCTGGCTATAAGCCCAGCAGACAAACAATTTCAACAGTATCTAGCCATGCTGAAAGCAATAGACAGTGTTGAATTCAACTTGAAAACTGTGTTGCTAACAGATGTTGATGTTGAAATGGTTCAGTTGTGAGAGACAGGGGTTCTTGCAGATTAAAGCCAGTGGTTACTAGTTTGTAATACTGAGCAAATATTCAAGAAAGTGAAAATCAATCTCAAGCACCGAGCCACTCAAAAACTTTCATGCAGAAAGGTAAACTACAACTTATTTCCCAGCTGCTGTAGCTTTTACTATTTTATATTAACTATTTTGGTGGCCTTACGGTCAGCTGTGCAGACCTGGTCATTGTGTTATGTTCTTGAGCAAAATACTTTATGCTCACGATCCCTCTCTCCTCCCAAAGGTGCATGTGGGTACAGTTGAATTGTCAGGGAGACCTGGTGGGCAACTTTGCAATGAACTGGTACAACCATACAGGGTGGAGTAGGCCAGCCCAAGCAGCATTGGCCACTTAGCTCAGGTATAAACTTCACTTATATTTGCTTTTATTACTAATTCCATTGTCCAAATCATTACTTCATTTGGGTAAAGAAAGTAATATTTAATCCAACTGTCAGACAAATGACCATTTAAGACCTCTAGTGAAAACAACTGGTGTACCTGAGCTATCTTAACAACCACTTTACTACGTTTACAAACAAAGCCCACGTTATATTAAAGACTCTTCAAGTTGATGTATTTACATTACGAAATGCATAAATGAATGAAACGCCATAAAAATATACCGTTACAACTTGCATTACCACATAAACATATTTATTTACTGTATAAAATGATTTCCTTTGACACAAAATCCCAAAAACAAACAAAAGGATTCCTTGTGAGGAAAGCGAAAACAGAATTGTTCATCAAGAGGATTTATTCAAGTTAAATTTCGAGTCTAAGAAATTAAGAGTCTTTGTTAATCTCAGAATAATTTCCAGAAATTAAATAGATTTTGCACATGTTTCTGAGACTTTTGTGATTTGTTCTCCATTTGAAATAAATTTTTAGATTTTTTTCAGATCAGTAAAATTATTGTACTGGGGAGAAAATAATACCTTCTTAACAGTCCTGTAAACAGTTGATCAATCCTGAAACGTTCCCCACCAGTATAGGATAGGGACTATAATGTGTGTTGCTGAACTACAATCTTTCTTCCAAAGATGTAAATCACCGAGTCATGTCTTGAGTTTTTAAAAATATAATAATCCTCGACAACTCTTCCTCTAGAAACATAACATGGCAAGAGGCTGTCTTCTTAAAAAAGGAGGATCTTTTCTTTCCTCCAGGAAACCTGTGGAGCATGCCACGTTTTCACTCAGAAGAACAAGAGTTGCATCTACTTAACTACTAACTGTATAATCATAACAAATAATTTCACTGTACAGATTCCTGTCGATCGTGTTCATTTTGTGGTTCATTATGGTTGTTTAAGTCTTGCCGCTCATTGTGCTCAGTTGTATCAATCTCTTCTCGTGGCTCACTATTTTCAGTTGTATGAATCTCTTCTTGTGGCCTGTCAGTGCCTGTTGGCTCAAGTTGTTCTTGTTGTTCTATACTTTCATTTGTATCTTTAGACTCAATTTGTTCACTTGCTTTTGGTTGATCCTAAAAAAAGAAACACACACACAAAGTGAGTCACCCCTAACAACTAATCCATCTCCAAAAGTAAATGTCACCTTTCCCTCAATTGACTTTGAAATGGATACCTCACAACCAACTACCACCAGGAGTTTTATCAGTGACTCTACCACTTTTAAAATAATACAATACTCAAAAGAGTATGTTAAGAATGCATGGGTTTCAGCACTTCTACCACAGATTTTGGGCACAGTTTAGCTTACACCTACCCTGATTGAAAAGCTACATATACTCTTTTACCTATTAAGTAACCCTGCTGATCAGGGAGGAGAAGAAAGCATCTAGCTCATTTTAACCAGATTTGGCAGCCAGGCTAGATCCCAGGGGATAAAAAGCTATGATCCTGTTTGGCCTCACAAATAAAATGAGCTAGGGTTAGCCAAAACAAAGCTTTTAATGTCTGGGGACTTCACTGTTGCATCATGAGCTTTTAACGAGTAACAAGATCTATTTTGCCCTCTGTTAACCTCCACAGTCATGTTGTAGTCCTGAGGGCAGATCTATTTTAGTTTTTCTATTTGTGGTTTCTTCTGTACTCAAGGGCAAGATGCTCCATGGCAACATGGCCAATCAAGCTTAATATCAGCTCCTAACTTTTCTAACGCACCTTTTCTCTGATGTCTCAACCTCTGTAACGAAGACTGTGACTTGACAAATGTACCTTCCTTCTCAGCTACCTGACACAGTTAACTCTAATTGTTAAAACTAGCTAAGATAATGCTCTAACTTCTCTAAACTTAAAGGACTTCACTAAATCTCACTAAGTGCAGCTTCCCCTGCTGGTTTCCACAGCTCTCACAGAAGTGATTCACATGTAACTTCTCCCCATAATATTGATACATCATCCAGCAAACAGGTAATGAGAATACTCAAACTTAACAGGAAGAAGTTGTCCCGATGAAACACCAAATTTTCATTGCTTAACTACAAGGCAAGATGTAGCAGCTAGAGAAAAGAATTAACAATAAGATCTTGGGAGTTTAAGGGTTAACTAACAAGAGTGGGTGCTAGCTGTAAACTATGAGGCCCAAAATGCATCAGAATGCCACTTCACAGAGGTTTCTTTTCTTTACTAAAATTTCGACAACATTTATAAATAACAACAATACCCCTGTGTGTCTGTATGGGTTCCAAAAGTGCTGCTATGCGAACTATTTAATTATTACTTTTAACTGAACTACAGTATTGCAAAGTACTAGTCCAAACCAAATGCATTCCAGTCACTTACTCTTTCATTGTCATAATGTTTTGTTTCACCATTTTCCTCCATCTCTTCCCGTTCTTCTTCATTGCGTATCTTGTCTGTGGAATTATTTTGGTTGCCATAGTTTTCATCTTCTATTTCTTCATCAGCAACCTCTTCAGCTGGCATTTGATCAATGGGTTTGTCTTCTATTGTTTCTTTAAAAAGAAGGAAAGATTTTTATAATTTTACAATACAATGTAACATGTAATGTAAAGCTGGGAACATTATGGTACACCACATCATCTCTGAATGTTTTAAATTCAAACTCAGGCAAAACTGCACACACAACACGCAGGACAAGACAGCTGAGACATACAAAATGTACTACTCAAGGTTGGATACACATCAAAACAAGTAACATTTGTGTCAACCTTGTATTCAAATAGTGTCCGTGACATTAAAAACTAGTTTGTTGTGACAAAAGCGTCACAATGAGCTTGTTGATAGGTTCATGACGGATTGGTACCAAAATATGATGGCTGATTTAGGGTCATTGACAAAAGCGTCACAATGAGCTTGTTGATAGGTTCATGACAGATTGATACCAAAATATGATGGCTGATTTAGGGTCATTGATGGTGAGATCGGAGTTGCTAGTGAGTTGGAAAAATAAATAGTGTATATCGAACAAGTGTGATTGCTCCTCACAAGATCACTTATAGTTAACAAATTAAAGTAAACAGGGCGTCACCTCTATCATCTTGGATTTCTCTGGCATCCTCTCTGTTCTCGCCACTAGCTTCATACAATGATGGCTTCCCTGCAAAGAGAAAACATGTCCATATCAAGCAAGAGAATGAATTGAGTTATATTAAAGGCTACCAGCACCAAGTTGTTTGAAGCATGATTTGCACAAATTCAGAAGTAACTGATATGGTAACACATTGTTCACTGAATAACTCACTCCGAGTGAATTTGTTGACCACATAAGCTTGTCGGTTTTTTTTGCTTAAGTTCAAGAGGGGGACAAAGAGGGGGCTTTCCAAACTTGAAGTCCCAGAGAGAGGATAATCAGAGAGGGAAATGAAACAAATATTTTAAATTCACAATTTATATATTAAGTGCTTATTGCAAGCCTCCAAGCACTGTTAAGAGAGAGAAACAAATATTTCGAGTAGCATATCAAAAACAAGTGCAAGTGCTTGAAAATCCCAACTATCAGGACCCAGACCAGTTGGCTATTTACAGGGTACTGCCCAGGAGTTGAATTCCAGACAACCAAGAACAAATCCAGTGAGGAGCAGGGTGTATTACTTGAACCCAGGACCACCAGGTAACAAGTTTGGCACCCTAACAGGAAGGCTCATCAGAGTGTTCAGATAACTTGCACCAACATATTTGAGTCATTTTTAGCATCCCTGAGAACTTTCTTAAACTATAATACAATGCTAGAATAAACAAAAGTCAAAAGGAAAAAGAAATTGTTTAACCAGGACAAACATTACTACTAGCTGCTAATTACACACTTGAAAAATCTTTCCTCAATTTCTAGCGTGCTTATTGACCAATTGAGTTTTTAGACTTACCATTATCTGCACTATCTTTTCTGCCAAACACAAAATTATCAACTGGAACACCATTGTCTCCAAGAACATTAGCAACCTGATCCTGTAAAGTTTCCTCTATTGGTATATCCTCAATCTCTGATTCATGTGGAGAGTCACTTCTTTCCGTCACATGGCCTCTCACTGGCTCATCATCTCTAAGAGACTCAGCTAGAGTATCTTTCAAAGAATCAAAAGGAGAAAATGGTTCTGGTTCATCTCTTGTTGCCATGTATGGGGGCAGACTGTTCACCTGCTGAAAAAAAATTTAATATTGTTAAGTGCACATTAGTGATGATTTACAGTTAATACCCAATTCTGGGTGAACCATACAGTCAGATGTTTAGCCTGGCAAAAGATTGAAC